TGGATCACAGCAAAAAAAAAGTAAATTTGTATTTATTAAATTATTAGCTGCCTAAGAAGATGCAAGGGTACATAAATAATAAACATACTATTTTCTATTGACCTCTTTGAATTGACCTCTTTGACCTTGATTTTTTTTTTTTTTTTTTTTTTTTAACTTGGTGCAAGTTCATTCCAGTCCGGTGCCTACGTTTACAAGTAACTCCCTCTTGTGGCAAGAAGCTGGAGTCACACCATAAAATCGACGGATGGACCTCAACACAAACCCAGAAGGCCTATGATGTCATACGATGCCAGAGAGGTTTCTGTTTAAAACTACAGCGAACAATGTGTGATGTTTATCCATGTGTTGTTGGTGCGCTTTGTTGACGGCAGCATTTTTTTTTTTTTTTGCTGAATGCAGGTGAATGGGTGAGGTTCTCACTGCTCTGAAGGTCACCACGTGTGTCCTTGGTTTATGTATTTGACACTATGAAAACAACGAATTGGATTCCTTATAATGAAAAAGAATCCAAAAAGAGGGGACACAGATCTAGGGCAGGTAAACAGTGTCCAGCAGGTGTGTCTATTACAGAACGTTACATAACAGAGGTCTCTCTCTCTCTCTCTCTCTCTCTGTCTCTCTCTCTCTCTCTCTCCACAGGGTCAATCCGTTGTATATCCCTGTGTATACAGACTCCCACTCCCTCTGTCCCACAGTGATGTCTTCCAGCTGCTCCCTCCACCACATCAAACAGGGCCCATGTCCTTTAATACAACCCATTAGCTCCGACGTTATAAACAATACTTCTGGGGGGAAAGAATTTTGATTTTGAACAGAAATCATTTCGTTCTCTAGCAGCCTTCATGCGTCCGCTGTGTTTATGGTACGCGTTGGGTTAACCAAAGAGCTGTGAGGCAAATAGCGGGCTCGAAATCTGTGGCTGCGATGCCTTTGAAATACATGCTTGAATTCCTAATGACTGGCCTTTTATTGTCCCCATAAAATATATGATAAAGAAATGGAGTCTGAAAGGTCTACGTAGACGTCCTCGGGCGTCTAAACAAGGACAGTTGTGTTTTAACAGCAGCATTTCTACAACCTGCTTCTTTGTCTGATATCAGGTTCCATTTCGTATTGCAAATAAAAATGAAGAAATCTGACTGCTCCAGACCGAGGCATGTCGCAAGACCTGCCGTTTGGTGTAAAATTTCAAGTGTGCTCTCATTTCAGAATTACGGGGTGGAAAAACCTGAAAACCGCACAGGCCGCGGCTTGACAAAGATATAGATATATAACTGTCGAAGCTGAAGCAGAATGCCTGAGAAACACGTTTTGACACGTTTTTTTTTTTTTACTTAGAAAATCAAGATTTTTGAAATGATAACATCTTTCTTGGAACTTTTTGACCGAGACGGATGTGGTTCTATCGCCTGACGGTTAGGTGAGAGCTAAGAGAAAATAATAGGCGAAGTGATAGTTAACAATAAGCAACAAATTAGCAAAAGATGTTGCTAAATGCTAAATGTACGTTACATTTAGCAATAATTTAAAATGATACACAGGGGATCCTTGAGATGCTAAGCTAACGCTGACTTGTACCGTAATCTAAGCACATCGCGAGTGACTTCAGATCGTCGTGGACTGTCCTGCAGTTTTCCCTAGCATGTTTCTATAGCTGAGGGTATTTAACGCCCCCTGCTGCCTGTCGTTATTGTCCCCGCAGCTCCTCACAGCGCTGTCGTCCAGGTGAAGTTTATCTCTGCCGTGTGGCTTCAGGTCTGCAGTGACGGATGAGGGTTTGGAAGTATCAGCTTACGCAGGTAAAATTACCTGGCTCATCAAAGTGTTCATGTGTTTGTGTGAGCGGTAAATGACACTGACGGGAGACACTGACGGGAGGAGGGGAGTGGGGGGGGGGGGGGGGGGGGGGGGGGGGGGGGGGGGGGGGGGGTGGGGGGGGGGCATTGTGTGAGGCTGCATTAAACTTTCACACACTCCTCCCTCACTGTGACCGGCCTTTCTCTGGCCGTCTATTCAGCGTCCTCTGTCTCTCAGCGGTGGCCTGTAATGGAACTGAGGCTGCGTACGGTGTTTTGTAATGAGATGTTTGCTCTTCAATTACTCCGCTGGCTCTGTAATCTGCATTACTGTCTGTGTTTTGTGATGTGGCACACACACATGGACTCTCGGGTCTGGGTCGCAACCCAATTCTGGAGTACTTGTTCACACATTTTGTGCAGTATTCAGCGGTAATACACACTTATATATACGTAAGTATGTATAAGTCCGAAGTATTATATTGATCTTAGCAAAACTCAGTTTTCCCCAACAACATTCCACAGCCGCTCTATTAGACTGGGGTGGTCATGTGACCAGTAGTGAGTTGGCACCAGTGGTTGGTTGCCGGTCCGTGAAACAGGAGAAGCTCATTTTAGTTTCAGTTACCTGGATATGAAGTCTGCTGTCCACCTTAAAAGTAAACTGATAGAAACGTACTAGAACTGAAGGAAGGCAACAAAGTACTAATCTTTAAAAAAAAAAAAAAATTCCAGCTACTGTAGCCGTTGTGTTTCAGGGTGACTGTACAGTGCATTAATTCCAGTCAGTTTTGATGTCAGGAGGGAAGGCAGAACTGAAAGTTAACAGTGCTGGATCGCAACAAAGAAGCATCTCTCTGTGAATCCGGACAGAGCCGGTTGAGCCCCACAGGATATTATTTTCGTCAGAACCCACCAAACACTGGTCTACGCGCTCTGAAAGTGCACTATTTTGCTAATACAGAAAACAGAGACAACACGGACGTGCACAAGGAAACCCGGGGATTGTGGCCGTGACCTCAGCGCTCTCAAAGTTGTGCTGCGTCGAACAAAGTAGGGATTCGCCGGGGCCTCTGTAAGGCCCTGTGTGTGGTGTGTTGATGCACACAGATCTTTGTGTGTATGTGTGTGTGTGTGTGTAGTGTGTGGAGGTGATGTAATGAGTGCCGGTGCTGGCTATGGCGCCACCCTAAGCCCTGCATAATGACGGTGACACGCACAAACAGAGATAGCCTCTGATGGAGCTCGGTCGCACCGCTGCGGACGCGGCGCTGCAGATGTCCCTGCGAACACTGACTGTACAGTGACGCGCTGACACGACGGCTACGGTTTTAATGTAAAAAAAAATAAACAAGGATGAGAAGTGAATAAATAACAGTAAGATGCGGTAACGGATAAGCCAGGTCTGGAATCTGAAAAAAAAAAAAAAAAAGAGCCTCCTTTTGTATGTGTGCATCTCTGAAGTGTATTTGTGTGTGTGTGTGTGTGTGTGTGTGTTCAGAAGTCGCCCTAATTAAAAGGAACCACTGAGAGAGTGTTCCTTAAGAGTCCGCTAAGAGCTGAATGGGTCTTTGTAAGTCATCGTAATCTCTTCTCTTCAAGCATAACTCCGGGCCCTAATCTTATATCAATGCTGCCAAACACATTCTGAAAGACCTTGACCTACATGCATACACACACACACACACACACACACACACGCACCTGCTTTGCTAAACAACACATAACATTGTGTTTGTGTAGTGTTCAGCAGAATTTATGAAAAATGTAGCGGACTTTCGAGATTTAAAATCGTTGCGTGAACGATCAACTACCAAGTGTCGAAGAACCTTGAAAGGATATTACATATTTAGGGGTGAACGTAATTAGAATTTGGATTTTTTTTTTTTTGGCTAAAGAAATGTGTGTTCTTAAAAAAAAAAAAAAAAGACTTTCCAGCTGCTGACACTATCTACACCGCGTTAAGACTTTCTTACATTGTAACAGTAAAAAAAAAACCCCAAAAAAACAGGCGGTTTTCTTCATAACGTGAGTCATTTCTGGAGCAGCTTGGATCTGTGACAGAGAGCTCCGGGACATTTTTGATTGTGGTCCACCTCAGACAAAAATAATGGCTCCCACACAGTTGTACAGGGGCCATCCACCACAGCTTGCTTGGGAATGATGAGTTTAGCTACAAGTTGATCCACAGCATCCTAAAAGTCCCTGTTTGTTTCTTGTCTAGTTTACACAGTCCCCCCTCTATATGACTCTACAGACTACAGAATTCCAGCGCTGACCTTTCAGTGACACAAGGAAAAAAAACAAAAAAAAAACAAAGGAAAAGTATTTAAAGAGTATGACTGGATATACAGGAGTCGCACGTATACGCGTGTAAAGAAAAAGGATGGTTACAGAGCTGCAACAAAAACAGGAAGTGCGGCCTTTGGTTCGAGCTTTGTGCCGCCGAACAAGCAACGGCATCACCGAACAAAAAGAGGGATCAGAGCGACGCGTCAGACCTCGTGCTTTTCCTTTCACGTCACGCGTCGGTCACAGACTGATGTCCGAATGATAACCAAATCCCTCTGAACTTGTTCATCTTAATCCAAAAAGTCAACACTGGAAGTTCACAGCATGGCCGGATACAGACCGTCTGTCAACAATCAGACCGTTATGAAATGTATCTGACTGTAAAACGCCTGCAAAGCTGAAGTGAAAGTAAGTAAAAAATACCAATATAGAAACAATATAAACAGGATTTATTATACTTTTTTTTGGTAAAAACTTTATACAACTTCTTTACAGCAACATCCAATCTCATAATTTCCTCAAAAAAACTTTCGGGTAAATTGTAGCACAGAAAATGCTACGTTGTTAGCGAGGACCGTCCTACGAGCTAATCCTGAACTTTACAATGTTCAGAGGAGTGTTTCTGTTGACAGACTAAAACCTGAGCCTACTTGTGGTGTTGAAGTGTAACTACACTACTTCTCATATTAATTTACATCATGCTCACTCAGTCAGAAACGCAACCATCTAACCAGTGGTTTGTGGATATTTTCACCCAAATTAAATAGCATTTTATTTATTTATTTTTATACAAATGTCATGGTCAAACAATAAAACCAAAAGTTCATTTTTTTTTTAAAACTGTAGTCGTCTATTTTAGGTGGCGAAATCTTCCTCGTGTGTTGTGGTGCAACGCCGTGATTCACTTACTTTTCGCAGAGTCAGGATTCTGAGGTCCCACTTTTGCGACGCTGGCCGCGGCCCCAGTCCTGTTCACTCCACTGTCGCTGTTCTTTTTCTTCTTGCTTCCCTTCATCCAGCTGAAGGCCTGTCCCAGGGAGCTTCCCGGCTTCTTCTTCCCACGTTGCGCTCTGGCCTCCTTGGCTAGTATCTCAGTGATGTCCCTGGGCACCAGGTCACCTGTAGACCTCCTCCGGGACATCGTGGAGGTTGGTCCTGGGTCTAGAAAGCTGTGTACGATGACCACCCCTCTGTCCCTCTGTAGCCTGGCTGTCTCTGTTTTTTCTGGTCTGTCACCACCTGGGACAACAGCGCGATCAGTAGAATGAGCAACGCAGCGTGAGATGGAAAAAGGGGGAAAAAAAATAAAAAATGAAAGTCAGCTAGAGGACGGAGAAATAACAACACTACCAAAAAAAAAAAAAACAACAACTATTGAAACTATGTCATTGTTAACAGAAAGTAGTTGCCTCCAAAGTTTTTCCTTCTCTTGTCTGCACCCAGTCTGTGTCTGTCTATCCTCCCATTTTAGTGTCTGGAAAGAAGAATCTTCAGGGTGGAGAACTGGACGTGAGCAATGTGTGGGTGTGCGTGTGTGAAACATGTGGTTCACATCCACATTAAAATATGTATGGATGAATAGGAGAAACCCAAAAAAGCTTGATCCAATCAACCGGCAGTGGAAACTGCGCTCAGGACTTAGTTTTTACTTCATATATTTTTTATCATCTCCACTCTGAATTCTCACACTGTCACACCAAGCTGTAACCATTAAACGTTGTACTTACTTGCAGAACGTGCCGTGCTCTCCTCTCTTCTCCCCTGCTCCCTCTTTTCCCAGCCTGAGAACAGCCTTACGAAGCATGTGTGTAAGTGGGTGTGTGTCTGCGTTCGTGTATGTGTGTGTGTGTGTGCGTGCTCAGTGAATAAAACCCTATGCTGTCTGCACAATCGGTCCTCCTCTTCCTCCTCCTGCCTCTGTATGAAAGACAGCCTCTTGGCCCACCTCTCTTTGGAGCGAGGTGCTCCATTCCTGGCTTCCTGTTTCTTCTACCTATGTTCCAAACAGCTGGGATTTAAGCTTTTTTTTGTTTGTTTTTTTTTTTTTTGGTCTCTTGTTCTAACCTCCTTTCCGGGGATCTGGAGCAATCGTCCCAGTCTCCCTCAGAGGGGGAACCCCTGGGTTGCAAACCATGATGGCAGCTAGGAAACCAAAATAAACAGCATGAGTCAGCACTTTCATATCAGAAACAACGTTAAACACATTTAAGGAGACGTTTTGTTCGTCCCGTAGCCAACAGGATATTTCTCTGTCGCGGCGTGAAACTTGATAGTCCTTGTTAGACGTGACACCCATTACAATTAGTCTGACAGATATGGAGTCCAAATAAATCCCACCCAGCTGTTCTTACCTTCGTCTGCTGCTGAAAGCTGGAGGTGATTTTCCAGTGGCATTGTGGTAGGGGGGCAGAATGAGCTGACAACAGCATGTCAGTTGGCTTTTTTTTTTTTTTTTTTTTTTTTTGGGGTGGGAGGGTGCACACGTTTGTCATGTCACACAACAAGCTCGTCAGGTTTGAATTTGACGAAGGACCAATTAGAGAAGAGCAATGAAAGGCTGGAGGGTGATCTCAGGGACACGCCCATAACAACAAAGTCAGGTCTGGAGCGCTACTAGCTTATAAAGAGCTTATGCTACAGAGTCGAGGTCATTAAAATCGTAAATCGTAAACCACTTAATATAAAAGTGTGCAATAAAACAACGAAATGCATGTAAACAGAAAATGAAACTCTTTGGTTTAAACTATTTTTGTATTTTTGTAATATACTATCTAATCTCAGATGGTAAAGTATCTTGCGGGGTATGTCGCATACACGTCTACTATCTACCACTTGGAGCAGCTGGTCTCTGGGTATTGTTAAGCAAAAGAATGTGGCTTCTATTGTAAAAAAAAAAAAAAAAGAAATTCCAACATTCTAACGGTATGTGTAAAAGGAAGGTAGATAAACTCCATAAATGTAGAGGGTCAGGTCAAGTAAACGTTGGCTAAGTCTTGATAAACAACGCATATAAAACTCCGACAGCCTGCAGCCAGACTGGTTACAGACTGGCTTTTATTGTATGGTTCCACTGTAAATTTGCAGACACATAATTGAGAACACAATGATCTGATGCAGCGGTTCTCAAACTGTGGTACGCGTACCATCGGTGGTACGTGAGCACGGGAAAATTTTCACATTTATATTTTCAACTGAATGAATCTGAAACATACCATGCACGATTAATACAACATTTAAACGTAAACATCTTTATAAACCTCTCTCCTCTGTGGTGGGAGCTAACAGCGAAGGCCTCTGCTGACGTTGAATAAATTCATGTTTGCCTAAAGTTTTTAAAAAGAAAACAATTTTAGGACTGTTTCTGTTTCTGTTTTAAACGAAAAGCTACTTTTAGCTTTTGCACTTCCTGTTCCCGTCATTTCATGATTTACGATCAAAAGTGATTTCTAAGCCGTTTTTTAATGCAAACCTCGTGGATCTGCAGGAACTATAAAGAGTTGTTAAGAACAGAATTTTTACACTTGCTCTTAAATCTTCCAACGCTGCTCTCCGCTGCAGCCAGGATCAGTATCTGATGGTCTAAAAGTAATTTTAACTCTTAATATTTAACAGGTTTTGTGCAGGAACATAATGAAAGAATCACGTGAATAATCTGTCGCTGTGATGACCGGATAACATGTCCTGAGTATTTCACTGAATATTCTCCCAAAAAAATATTGTTTGCAGACTGTTTGTGTATGCGTGTGTGTGCGGTGGGGGAATCCATAATATGTGTGAGCACCAGGGACCTGGGAGGGGCTGAAATGAGTCATTGCTTCGTTCACTCATGCCTTACACATTGAAATGTTTTAAGCGTTTCCAAGGCAACGGACTAGAAAACACTCACCCCTCAGCGTGAAAGGGAGCTGCTCAGCATCTGAGCTCATGCGTGTAGAAAAAAGTTAGAAAAATCAGAACACCATGAGTCACCTGGGGTACTTCCCTCCACTATACCCAACTGTTCTCACCTCCTAGTCAATTTTCAGGCATTTTTTAAAAAATATTAAGTTTAAATCATTAGTAAAATAAGGATGAGGAGTTTTTTTTCCCCTGTTGTTCAACATATATATACAGCGTATATATTTACTCCCAACAGATGAACTCATTAGTAACTAAAAATGGAACGGGGTTGAGGAACACGTCTGACATGTATGAATAGTTGCAGAGAGCAGGGGGACAGTTTCCAGGTTACACTTAGCTGTAAAACACACATTGGGGATTCCTTCATGCAACAGAGGGAGCTTTGTTCCGAGAGGCTACGACTAGAATAGATAGAGCCTCTGTTGGAAGAAGAAACTAAGAAAGAAAAACGAATAAAGGTTTTTTTTAAAAACCCTAACCTTTAACACATATTTGCGTCCAGGTGCTTTGTCCAGACATGTTCTCGTTGCCCTTCCACCTGGGTGAAGCCGTTCACTCGTGACCCTGACCGCATTCTTCTGACCTGCCTTAGATGGAAAAGATGGAATGATCACACTGTGAAAGCCAACATGGCTCTGTCTCATTGACCCCGGGAGACATGGGAGGACTTTAAGGAGATGATGTTCGAGTCACAACTCAGCTGAGTGGGTTAAGTCAGACAGAAGAAGGGGAGAAAGTATGACTTAAACCTGCAGACCATCAGGCTAAAAGAGTGGGCTGTGGCCTTGTTTACGGCGCCTCTGGGGAACAATTTTGTCTAAGAGCCAGATAACAGAGTCACTAAGCCTGAAGGATTGTCATTTTTTTTGTACAAGATCCACCCTACACAAAACAACAGCCTTTAAATACTTTTTTTTTTTGGAGGCTTAACACAAAATATTCATTATCCACTGCGGGTATCGTCAAGTTGTACTGCGATGACTGATTCACACGTTGTTGACAGAGATGTGACAACAGCTGCTTTGAAGATGTCTCCGAGCACACGTGTGCATCTGAAGAGCTGCAGAGAAGTTGAACGGTGACATCAACCCCTGATGTTATCCCGTGAAGAGCAGGAGTTGGAAGAAGTCTGGAAGAAGTGAGCGTATAACAGATCTGCTTTGTGACCTGCACGCCGTCCATAAATTTTATTGGCCAATCAGTGTTTTCCTTTTCCTGGACAGGCTGAAGCAGGCCGCTTAACGGTCCTTCCTCCTGGGGAAAGTCGACCCTCACTGAGCATTCATAAACAGACGTAAATTAAATGAGCTGCAAAAAGGCAACAGGGCCCCTGACCAGTGTTTTCTCCCATAGATAAAATTATGAACCCAAGCTGAACAAATACACAACACAGTCCATGCCCAGTGTAATTAAGCTTTAGAGAGTCTATGGGTCTGAGCCCCAAGATTTAAATCCATCCATCCATCCCTCCATCCATCCACCATCCATCCATCCATTACTAATATTACTAATTACTAGACTAGACTAAAACCTGGATATCGAACGTAAACATTTAAACAAGACAACCATACATTTTACTACACACGTGGACAGGAGTGTTGCGTTAGACAGTCTACCTCTATCTGGAAAGCTGTGCAAATGTCCAAATCCACATTGGAGGTAAATCCCTATACAGTATGACCCCTAGGGGTAAATCACACACAAAGACATTTATCATGTTATGATAAGGCCGCGCTGGTCCTTTAACAACATGAATGGAAATATTTTTACCGCAGGAATTCCGGAGGGTGTGGTTGCTGCTGAGTTGTTTGGGACTGGACAAAAACAGACCACAGCTTTCCATCTATTCTCTCACTCTGTCTTTCTTTGTCTCTCCCTCCCTCCCTCTGTTTATAGAGTCACCAACTCTGTTTCCATTCTCTCTGGGGAGTTGTTTAAAAAAAAACTGACGTCACAGACAGGAAACCTGAGGTGATCTCTGTTGAATTTTGTAAAAATAACAGGATTGGCACCCATACGGCTTGTAATTAGGAGAGCCGGAGAGAGAATGGTGACTTTGCCAACTTTCATTTCTCAACACGGCAGGGATTAAAGACACGTTTGGAGGAGAGATATTTGTTGAGTTAATAGTCATTAAACATACATTTTAGTGAGCGTCTTTCACAATATTTACTGTAGTAGTTCAATCTGACATCATCCCTGCACCAGTCTCTGTCCTAAACCAGCAAAGTACCGCTCCTTTAAAGGATACAGACACCCTCGAGTACTAAATCCCATGCAGTACAGTCACCAACCTGTGACTTAGAGGAGTGACAACATTAGGTTAATATCTAAACTCTAAATGTTTAGACTTAGAGACAAGCCTCGAGTGCAGAGACTGTTTCCCCGAAGCCTTAAAGGAGAGTTCCCGGAGTTTTGTTCCATTGAACTGCTCCCTTTACCTGACCTGCAGATGGCGCTACGTATGCATTTGAAAGCATTTGAAAACTCTAAAAGTTGTTATTGGTTTAACCCAGACTGTTTGGATTAGATTTGCAGAGTACAGTTTGTAAATGTTGCAGAATCAGTTCTACATTTAGTTCTGAATCACAGTTCCCCACAGATGCTTCATGTAACCACACCCACACATACAGACACACGTTTCCGTAGTCTATACATGTAGACAGAGAAGCAAACCAAACAGCAGTGAAATTATATAGTTCACTGCAGTGACAACAGAGAGAGGGTGTGTATCTGCACAACAGTGTTTAACTGTCAAAACAAGTCCCGTGACCTCATGTCATCCCTGATGTTCCTTACCCAGTGCCTCAGACTTACTGAAAGGCAGCTGTTGTCGTGTCGTGTGTAAAGAGTTTTACACAACGGGAGTAATAAAACAATGTATCAGTTAACAAAAAAATAAATAAAAAAAATACACTTTTCAAGAGCCCGGGACTAGCCCAGATCTATGATGTTAGAAACTTGAGATAGTGTTTGCCCCACTTAGGGGTAACTAAAAATTGAGCTCTAGACCCATCTGGTGGTGACTGCTTGCTTTTTCTCTTTACTACAGTTATATGGAAACACTAAAATAAAGAGTAAAGAAAGGCTGAATCATTGATAACAATAATGTTCACAGTCCACATGTTCACTGGTCGCGTTACTGCGTACATTAATAGTAGCTTTTACTGTAAATAATCCAGCCGGAATGGATGGATGATTTTATCCTGTTTACACACAAATTTGACTGTATTTCCAAATGCTGCAAAAAATCAGATTTTTGTTTCACTTTTTTGTGTGTGTTTTCTGCACATCTCATTCCCTGACTCCTCAACTTTTTCGTGAGGAGAACCACCACCGCTCCGCTGTTCCATTGTTGGGGTCAAAAGTTAACATGAAAAACAATCCTCCCGAGGGAAGTAGCCAGAAATTTGCGGGAGCTATTTAAAGCTTTCTTGATAATGAGGAGAGACTGGACGAATCTTAGAGCATTAACACGGATCATCACAAACACGCCGTACCCCATGACCCGCCAACGTTCATTACTGTGTCCTCCCCTGTTCCCTGAGCCACAGGCTGCTACCAGCTGCATCGCTGTCACTGTCGGACCATCTGGCTTGACAGAAGTTGTCAGTGAGCCACAGGTTTACGGTGGCAACATGTGGGGATCGGTTTTATTTTAGAATGTATCATTACCCATGTAAAATGACAGAAGAGATCCACCCACACCGAAGCAGCCTTGACCCCCAGCTGCATGTATCTTTCTGAACCAATCTGAGCAGGGATCAACTAAATCTGGCAGCCAGGTGTTTTGACCTCATTTTTAGAGATTCGGTTTGAGAAATCCTTTATCTCTCTTGGGTTGAAAAGAGCCTCGGCAGCCGCTCCAGTGTTTATTAATAAACCTAAACAGGTTTGAGGTAGTCATGGTCACACATAGCAGCACAGTGACTGGGAAAAATGAGGCGTTAACTACCCCCCCCCCCCCCCCCTTCTCCCAGTCCATTTCATCTGCTCACCCAGCTCCCGCTCATTCTTTGTTGCTCACTTCAACTGTTTTCCAGAAGCAGTTGAGTTTATTCTCCCTTTTAGAGACACGAGGACAGAAAGAAAGAGGCGTACACAGTGAGTATGTTTGATTATGGACGACTGTCACAGCCAGTATTAATGATTCAAATCCAGTTTATTAGAAACAAAAATGAATGTTTGCTTTTCTTAACTTTTATCCTCTCAATTTCTGACATTTAAAATGAAAGAGAAGTCAAATTTGTCACCACCAAATGTGGCTTTATACTGTATCGGCGTTGTTGCCTAGACATGGAAGAAATGTTTGTTTTTAGAATGAACAGTACAGTGTTTGGTTGGTGGCAGCCTGCAAGAATGTGTCTTGTGTCCATGCTTGCCCGTGAGGAGACAGCTGCTCACTGTAAATAATTCCCAGCTATGAATTTCACAGTTGAGTCTCAGGGTACAAACGGGGATACAAACGCAGCACAAAAGTGAACCAAAAAAAAAATGGATATGTTTTATTTTATTATTCTAGATTACAAATGTCTGTTTGATGACACTATTGGGTCAGTTTACACACCGCATGTCTCTGCATGTCTCTGTACAATGTTGGCACACACCTCAGCGGGGGACTTTACTGTTGCATTGTTCACCGGCGCAGAAACCGAATGCCTTTCGCTGGCACAGACGCTTGTTATGATTGGCCCTTCACTGTGAGCTGTGTAATGTTGATTGTTGAAGCTTCGGACGTAAACAGCACGCTGTGTTTACACTAATGGAGTCGCGGTGTCCCACTTAATGCATTAGGTGTGGATGTTTTGTTTGGTTTGTGTCTGACGCTTGCCAGGCAGCTAAGCTGGTGCCCGGGGCGAGTGGACAGCTGCTGGTAACATAGCTTTTAACGGCATGTGCCCTCCCTGTTTGTACGTGCTCGTACTGTAAACTGCAAGACTGTAGGCATGGTTTACACGGACACATATATATGCCTGACATACTGACCCAAATTCTATAGACATGTACGTTTATTATTATCCAGATCTGTGTTTTCAACCACTTAACACCTCTTGGACTCGTGAGGGAGCTGGAGACAATCAAAGCGATACCTAAAGGTGTGTTGTCTAATATATTTGTGCTGTGTGTTGTCCTCAGAGGACATGTAAGTTGTGGGACCGTCTGCATCAAAAGAGATCCTAGAATTGCCGTGACCTAAACCAATGGAGAACATGGATAACGGTATCCCTCTGCTCTTCATCAACGAAGAGGGAGCTGAGCCGGAGAGAGAGATTGTGATGAAACCAGATGACAACAGAGCACAGCCTGGACTCAACTTCTCAGGCAACCCGTCAGCTTTAATCAGGCCATACCTGCAAGAGATGGATGAGCTGCTGAAGAGCTGTGAGGAGCTCACGGGCATTTCCTTCGGTACGGTCTACTCAGAAAGCTTCGCAGAAACCAGCTTGAACAAAACAACAAGTCACGCTCGGAGCACAGAGGACGTCCTGACCGAGAGCTACAGAGAAACCATCCCTTCGTTGCAAACGTACCTTTGCCTGGCCACGCAAATGGATGAGGCTGAAACCAAAGAACAAGAAAAAGAAAAATCACAAGAAGCATCGTTAGCTAGCTGTGTACAGAGCCGGGGAGGTCCCGATCAGACTGGATTACCTGTAAGTGAGGCAGGCAAAAAACTGAGTAAGGCTATGTTAGATTATGAAGGTCAGCTGCGGGGAATGTTGGCCACGCTGCAGGGTTGTGTGGAAGAAACCGGGATGGACTTTGAGGCCCAAGAGTGGAACGGTGATGCACGACAAGAGTATGTGCACATTAGCAAGAGTACAACAGTGGAGTTGGAACCACAGCTAATGCAGTTTGGAGCCTGTGCAGATCAACATGAAGAGGGAGAGAGATTTTCCAAGGAGAGCAGAGACAAAGTGACTGAAATAATTGGGCAGCAGCAGCAAAACTCCCTGCTTTACTCCGACAACCTGGGTGGAATTTTAATGGACAGAGTAGAAGAATCAGGACAAAACAAACAGGCTGTCTCTGAACCACAGCTTAGCGTTTCAGCGCCATTAGATTTGGGCCGAAATACAGAAGGGACAAAGGCAGTAGATATGTTTGACATGGAGAGTGAAGAAGACGTAAGCAGGACTGGAGTAGAAGACATGGAAATGTTGAGTGAAGAAACAAAGGTCAAGGCAGAGGTCACTGAGCTAAGGGCTGATAAAAATGATTTGGACGAGTTGGGCTCTCAGATGGAAGAGTGCATACAGAGAGTCCAGCACTTAGAGAAGAGGAGGAGGGAGCTGCTGGCAGAGGTGCTGGATCTAAGAGGAAACACAAACAGAGAGGAGAAAGAGCAGAGCGCAAAAGGCGAGGAGTGGACAGATGAGCAAATGGACGGGAAAGTGATAGAGCTGATGAAAATACTTCGAAGTGAGGAAGAGCAGAGACGGGAGGAGAGAAAGAAGGAGTTTTATATGCTCAGGGAGGAGAGAGCAGAGGAAGAGAGGAGAATGTGGAAGGTCAACCTTGAGAGAATGGGGCTGCAAGAGGAACTGAGAAAGCTGAAAAGAAGGTTATTTACTATAATGAGGGAAAGTACCCATTGTCAAGCCATCCTGAAGAACCACTGCAAAGAAGTAGAGCTGCTGAAGAGAGAAGAGGTAAACAATGAATCGTCTTTACGCTGAATTTCACAAACTCCTCATTGGAAGAATAATACATTTTCTTGTCTTGCTGCAGGAGAAGCTGCAGGCTCTGGTGCTCCAGCTGACGGAGGAGTGCAGCCAGCTCAGGTCAGCTCAAAACCGACAGATCTTAGAACTACAAACGCAGCTGCAATCCAAGCTTTCCAGTCAAACCTCCTGTAACCAGGAAGAGTTGACTGAGTGCAAACGGAACTCCTGTGGGGACATCCAGCAGTACCTCCAGGAAGGACTAAGATTCCTGGAGAACAGGTGCGGCCGATGACAAGCAATAGAGTTACGTTGGCGTACACCCGCTATTTCACATTCATATCACATTACTGGTTGCCTTTGTCAGGTATGAACCTCTTCTTCTGGCATTGCTGAAGAGAAGAGATGCCACAGCTGGGGCTCTGGTGAAAGCCAAAGAGGAGTCCCAGCAACTGAGATCACAACTAAGACCCCTGAGGGACGAGATCCAAAAACTGAAGCTGCAAAGGGCTTGTTTGGAGGAGAAGCTTAAGCTTATCTACATACATCACAAAGAGGAGATGGGGCTCTATAAAGTAAGAATGAACAGTTTTTATTGTTAGTTAGTGAACTGAGCTTTAAAACTTACAGCACTATGTTTTACGACCGTTTCAGGAGACTGTCTGCAGTCTGGAGGAGCGCAGCCGAGATTTAAAGACCGAGTTACAGATTCAAAAGAGAAAAAACAAAGACATAGAGGAGTTAAGAGACAGCTTTAAGAAACAAGTCCTCCGCTACAGGTAGGAGAATATCATATTTTCACTGTCAGGTTTACTTTATGATCGAATTAATCAGTGTTCCTTCTGTTCTCGCAGGGCTACGATTCAGCAACAGAAAGAGATTGAACCTGAGAAGCAAACATGATACGCATCCAATGGCCTCACTTTGGAACGCAGTAAAAGCCACTTCTAGAAAGAATGCACTTTCCAGGCATTTTAAGATTTTTTTTTTTAATGCTTGCATGGTTTTTATTCCGTTAGACCTCTTTTGTAGAAAAATTTCATACAAATAAAAGCTTTGTGATTCTGAGGAGTCAGTGTCTTTTTGGAGTGCAGAGGCGTTCATGCACTTATAAGGGCATCTTGGCTGCAGAACTAAAGAAGCAGGGTGGTTAAGAGTGAGATTAAGAGAAAAGACACTTTAAAGTAGGCAATAGAATAGAACAACTATTAAACAGTATCTAGTAATAAAACACAACTTCTTATAGATCTTTTACTAGTTAATGCATCTACTACAACATATTGCACATATATAACTGTTAAACCTTTTCTTCCGTTTTATGGTTTAAAAACATTACAATTGTTTATGCCACTTATGTAAATAATAATGGCATATATGTAATACCGTCAAATTGAGCAACCAA